AAGAATGTGTGTAGCAGAATGTGTTGAGCATGTGTGGAATAACAAAACTCATGCGCAAAAACTATTGTGTTCACAAACGTTTGTTGCTTTTCTTGTTGCTGTTTTGAGCATTCGCGAAAATTCGCGAGCATTCGCGAATGTTTGCTTTGATACGTGTGCAAATGTCAGAAAGAATTTCAACCACAAAAGAACGATCGGTGTTGTGTGCTCTCACTCGTTTGCTATGTGCGTGAACGTATTTTGAAACATTCGCGAGCGAATTTTGTTCACCCTGAAATAGAGAACCTTGACTATTCAGAGATTTCCACAAAACAAATGAGTAAACAAGTGAAAAGGGCAGTATGTTTGCGTACAGTTCAAACTTTTAACTTTTGCTTCTCAATGGATATTGGATATTCGGCATATTGGGTAATCCTAAAGACTAAACCTAAAAATGATCCGATATTGACAATTAGAACTTTTTACACCCTCCACCACGTGATGTTCATTCAAAATTCCTTAAGTCGATCGGAAATACCCGAATACCGAAAACGGGCTGGATCTTTCATGTGGGAATTATATCAAACCTTGGAATTTGAAAAATCAACTTAAAACGGATTTGGCGGACAATTCGCCCATTTTTTGATTATTTTTGGTATGGAGATTTCCTACTCAATTAGAATACAAAATATAAAATTACAGCTAATTTGCTTGAAGCACATGCCTAAGCTCCCCAAAATATTGAAATTTGGGATATAGCGTTATATGGGACATTCTTATAAAATGTGAACCATTATTAATAATTTTTAATAGGAAGATTTGACACACCATCATAAAGTTAGAGACGTGTCCAAACCCCCCAAATATTGAATAATGGGGATTATTATATGGGGGCTACCCGGAAACATTGGCCAATGTTGATAATTTTTGTTAGGGACATTTATACTCAATGATAATTCAAAGTATTCGTGAGAATAAATAAAAATAAAAAATCGATATTCCGAAAATGAGAATTGGCACGTCCCACTATGGGCCAGTGATCCCATTTTTTGGCCATAATAAGAGCAGTGGGTTTATGAAAAAATAAATGTCACAAGTAAGGTTTTCGAGGATGCTGATTACGATTCTGACAATGAAAAAAAACACAATTCCAACAATTTACAATAATCAGTTTGCAATGTTAATTCTGTGCCAGTTTTTATATTTATTGTTTTATTTCACTGTTATTTATAATTATTTTTAACCTCTAACCCAATGTATATAAATATCAGAATTTATGGTATAAATCACCCATTGATAGTGCTAAATTAAACCAATTGAACTGTATATCCCCCAAGTGAGCCATTATCAAACTCTATTCACAAATACAAACATATTCCAACACACACATGCATACATATTACATATGTATAGAAAACAAAACAATGAAGTAAGTATTTTCTTCCTCTATCTCTCTCTCTCTCTTAGCCTCATAGCCTACTTACATTCGCTTTAATTGTCTATCTGTCATTAAATTTCTTTTGTTCGCTCAAGTAGATGCATAATAAATATTTTTTGTGAATTTTAATTGCATGCCAATATACGTTTGTATGTATGTTTGGACCCTACAGTGTTACTAAATCCTGCCCATAGGTTAAGAATAAGAACAATAAACTTAACTGACATACAACATGCTTCTGCACGACAGCAACAAACAACAACAAAAACATCAGCAGTTATTGGCTTCAAACAACGACAGCAACTGCACACAGAAAAAAAGCTGTTCCACAAACACACTCACAAAACACTTACAGCTTTAGGACAATGTGTACTGCACTTTATAAAACTCATGTATGAGAAACAATCACACACACACACATATACACAGAGAATCATTTACTTGTTTCCCAAAACAATTGAGTTGTATTTATGATACAAATTATGGGTATATTGGGGTGTAATGAAAGAAAGGGAGTCTTTTATAGACGAGATGAAAAGAGTCTTTCATAGACGAGATGAAGGGAGTCTTTCATAGACGAGATGAAGGGAATCTTTCATAGATGAGATGAAGGGAGTCTTTCATAGACGAGATGAAGAGAGTCTTTCATAGACGAGATGAAGGGAGTCTTTCATAGACGAGATGAAGAGAGTCTTTCATAGACGAGATGAAGGGAGTCTTTCATAGACGAAATGAAGGGAATCTTTCATAGACAAGCTGCAGGGAGTCTTTCATAGACGAGCTGATGGGCGACTTTCATAGACGAGCTGAAGGGCGACTTTCATAGACGAGCTGAAGGGCGACTTTCATAGACGAGCTGAAGGGCGACTTTCATAGACGAGCTGAAGGACGACTTTCATAGACGAGCTAAAGGGAGTCTTTCATAGACGAGTTCAAGGGAGACTTTCATAGACGAGTTCAAGGGAGACTTTTATAGACGAGCTGAAGGGAGTCTTTCATAGACGAGCTAAAGGGAGTCTTTCATAGACGAGCTAAAGGGAGTCTTTCATAGACGAGCTAAAGGGAGTCTTTCATAGACGAGCTAAAGGGAGTCTTTCATAGACGAGCTAAAGGGAATCTTTCATAGACGAGCTGAAGGGAGTCTTTCATAGACGAGCTGAAGGGAGTCTTTCATAGACGAGCTGAAGGGCGACTTTCATAGACGAGCTGAAGGGCGACTTTCATAGACGAGCTGAAGGACGACTTTCATAGACGAGCTAAAGGGAGTCTTTCATAGACGAGTTCAAGGGAGACTTTTATAGACGAGCTGAAGGGAGTCTTTCATAGACGAGCTAAAGGGAGTCTTTCATAGACGAGCTAAAGGGAGTCTTTCATAGACGAGCTAAAGGGAGTCTTTCATAGACGAGCTAAAGGGAATCTTTCATAGACGAGCTGAAGGGAGTCTTTCATAGACGAGCTGAAGGGCGACTTTCATAGACGACTCCTTCTCAATTCTTTCAAAGGTGACTGTAACCGCTCGCAATGTTCGACCCATTATATCGATGTCATCGGTTAGGCGAGTAATATGTGTTGTTTGGTGTAAAGAGTGCCATTTCTGTTCACCTTTGCATCTCGTATGACCTTTTCCAGCAGGATGTTAAAAAGATCACACGACAAACGGTCACCTTGTCTGAATCCTCGTTCGGTATTGAAGGGCTCCGACTTTAACTGCTGACCTGGCACAAGTTAACTTAAAGTTATCCTACATAGCCGTATTAATTATGCCAAACGCAGACATTGCTTTAAACACCTCTGAACGGATAGGGCTCTGTCGAATGCGGCTATATAGTCGTCGAATAGGTGGAATGTGTCGATGTGTTTTTCCAGAATCTGGCGCAGAGTGAAAATCTGGTCAATGGTGGATTAGCCAGGCCTGAAGCCACATAGGTATGGTCGTTCACACAGCACGCTGTATAGCACTTTATATGCGATGGGAAGGAGACTTATTCCTCTACAGTTGGCACATATCGTCTTGTCTCCTTTTTTGTGCACGGGACACAGGATGCTGAGATTCCAATGAGAAAAATGAGCTGGTGTATGCTCCTGACCAGCATCTGACCACCGGGTTTGAATAGTTCGGCTCGTAATCCATAGGCACCTTCTGCTTTATTGTTCTTTAGCCGATTAATTGCTACTCTGACCTCATCTTGGCTAAGTGGTATACACTCTATACTGTCATCTCTTATTGGTTCTGGGGTATCTTCTTCACCGCCACTATTTGATGCCAGAAGCTTTTCAAAATGCTCCTTTCAGATCCTCAACACGCTGTCTGTATCTGTCAAAATGTTTCCATCTTCATCTCTACTGGAGGACTAGCAGGTATATGTCTCGGAAATTCCTATCAGCTACCCGAGGATCTGAGGAAATTAACAGTTCTCTGAAGCTGCAATTGGTAAACTCTCTGAAACGTGCCAATCAGCTATTTACGGAGACGATAATGGGGAGAGAAATGGCGGGTTGTCCGACTACGTCATTTATCAGACACGGTGCCATAATGGTAAAGTCCGCGAACTGTAGCAATTCTCGTGGAGCTGTCAATTTGCTCTGCCTGCGCTGTACCTCTCTGTACATTACCTAGGACGGAATGCCAGAGATCATAATGGGCATTGAAATCCCCTACGCTGACGTAGCATGCGGCAAAATTACTCCTGTCACTGTAGTCCTAAAGTCGATTAAGACTTGAACAGCCGCTGAAATCACCCATCACATGCATCTATTGCATCTCACCAACGTTGATCTGTGGTAGATGCGGTTCCGACATACGGAACAGAACCAAGGACCGGTTTTTCTTTCTACCCCGACTCGAACTACTTTCACTGGGCACTATGGCTGAATTTTGGGAGAAGTACAAAATTTAGCTTCTTTTTTTTGAGCTATACAAGTTGTATAATACACTACATTGTGTGTGAAGAAGCCCTCATAGTGTTCGCACTTTAGTTTTATTGTCAAACTCGCATTGCCAAATCCCAAGATTCGCTACTGGAAACTTCACCGAATCATTTGGCACAGCTCTCACCTTCTTCGCTACGAGACAATCTCTATGATAGATCCTCGTGGTATATTAGCCTTAGCCACAGTCGACAATCAATGAATCGTGGCGGTTCCTGAAATGAAATAATGTGTTCCAATAATATCTTCAGCATCTGCGGTCTTACAGAGTTTGTTTTTTGGTTGTTTTGGAAGGCGATAATATATATATTCCCCTTTGTCCCTCCTCAGATAGTTCTATAAAGACTTTGTCAAAAAAATTCATTACACCCTAATATATACTCACTCCGTGCGTTTTACAAAATCATAGCAAAGTTTATGGACTAATTTCTCCAAAGGAATTGTTTTTGTTAACCCCAGACCTCCACTTGACATAAATAACAACTAACCCAAACAATTATGTTTCTCTTTTTTTCTTCTTCTTCCTCCTTATTCTTCTGCCTTCTGGTCGCTTGATGTCCATACGGATTTGATGCTGCTTCCTCACATACATAACCATGTTCGGATGGATGTCTGGATAAATGGATGGTTGTATGATTGAATGAATGCACTACAGCTTAAGTCGAACAATGGAATCTTTTGACTGTATATCCAGTGATTCGGAGGAGGGTCTGCTAGATGAAATCATAGTGGGTTGTAATTATCAAACCAAACATATGATGCAACGTCTCAAGTATCAGCAGCATCAACATCAAATGCTGCAACAACAATATCAACATCAGCAACAACATTCGGCCTCACAGCCATCCCTGGCCATTGGCTATTATCATAGTCAGCCGTATTTGTGTCACAAATCGTCGTACGATCCCATGGAATCACCCATACACTATTGTGATAATACCACACAAATAGAGGAGCAGGGTAGTCCCGAGCAGGTCAGGCAAAACGGTAAAGATGAGCCGAAGCCGGAACACCATTATCAACAACAACAGCAGCAGCAACATCATCCGATTATGATACGTTGCAGCTCCACAACGGAAAGTGAATTGAATTTGAAAATGGCCAGTCATATGGGTGCAACAAATTCGGGAAATAATCGTGGCAGCATTTGTTCATCGGAGAGTACAACCAGTGTTACGGGTACCACCATAATGTCCCACGAGGATACAGATCAATCTTCCATTACCACCCAATTGGAGGTATCGGATTATGAGTCACACAATTTGAAAGAGAATTTAAGTTTGAATAACCTCACGGTGTCCCATAACCAGTCAGGAGCCTCAACCTCGAATAGCCACTCTGTGGCCAGTGCCATTGGGGCCTCCTCTTCCTCCTCGGTTGCCATTGCCGCAGCTGCAGCCTTAGGCCCATCATTTAATCATCAACTCACCGCTGATATGTGTAATTTTAAAAATTCCAAATCTCGCCGCCTCGAATACTCGCTGAAATGTTTGAAATATGGACGCAGTAATCCATCACAGGATTCAGCATTTGGTTCCTTGACGGACAATGATCTGTCAACAGGATCCTCCTTTCGTTTAAGTAGCTTCCAATCGATTTCCTCACCCATTGATGAGGGGGTGGAAGATGTGATTATTGCCACCACAACTGCAGGGCTGGAGACATGTTTGGAACTGGCCACAATACCCCGAAATATGGTATCGCAGGATTCAGCTATATCATCGCCATGTCGTGAATCGTCACCAAATAATTTTCTCAACATTGAGGATGGTTCCTGTTCGGGGGCCTCAAGTTCTTCGGGTTCGACAGGGAACTTAAGGCCACAACATTTTCCTGTCTCATTGTCTCCGAAAATTTTGGTTACAGCCACCACTAATTCCAGTAACTCCAGTTTGGCCTCGGTGTCAGGTTCCCAAAATCCACAACAACAACAGCAGCAATCGCAAACACAAAATCCAACACAACAACAACAATTTGATCCACCAAAAATCTTGGTAAATGATCAAAATTCCATTTATACAACCTCACCCTCCAAGAAATCGGGAACCATTGAGGTGTTCTCCCAGAAGTATCGGGTTAGCTCCTTTGAGGATATGTCACCTGCAAAGAGGAGCAGCAGCAGCTCGGGTGATAAGCAGCACTTGAAAAATGTCAACCGTTTGGCATTCCGATCCCTGGAAGAGGAACGACGCATAGATAATGCATTTATACCCATCACCGATCGGGTACATTCCGATAATCGGGTGAATGTACACAGCGAGAAATATAAAAAGCTGACACATGCCTCATTTCGCATAAGTAAGACCTCCAGTCAGGTCACCATGTATGATACCTCGCCCGGGCAGATGATCACCTCCTCCCCAGGATCCTCCACCATGTTGGCACAATGTGGCCAATCGCTGGAATTGCAAAGACCAGCCACGGTGGTAGGTGCGGCCAGTTCCAGTTCCCGCCAGACCATGTGGCGGGATAGTAAATTTTATCGTAAAAATCGCATTGCCAAGTCCAATGATTCGCTCCTGGAAACTTCGCCCAATCATTCGGCACGGCTTTCACCCTCTTCGCTAAGAGACAATCACTATGACAGCTCCTCATCGTATGGCAGCCGTAGCCACAGTAGACAATCATTGAATCGTGGCGGTTCCATAAATGAAATAATGGGTTCCAATCATACCCTGGGTCCCGAGATAACAGTTACCACCAGTTTTTGTAATCAAACCAATTCGTCATCCCACAACAGCAATCGTCGTTACTGTAGCTCGAAGAGTGAGGATCTGGGTGACTCCAATGATTATTTGCGGGTAATGGATGCTCGCAAGTCCTACTCGGAAAGGCATTTGGTTACGTTCGAAACCACCCTGAAGCAGACAGCTATCAACAATACCATGCCATTGGATGGCAGTGACCCATACTATCAATCGGAAGATGATTTAAGTTTTAAAGAAGACAATAACCACTACGGAACGGCGAATGGTGGGGTGAAGTATCAAAATCAAAATATACCGCCACCACCACCTCAATCGCAAAGGTCAAGGCATTATTCGCATAGCAACAAAACTCATCATGGAGGTTCGAACAAATATAATGACTATGATTATTACCACGGTGCAACCTCCAAACAGGCCTCGGGCATTTCATCGCTACCCAAATCCGGCGGTTCCGCAAATGCCAAACGTTCCCACCCAAATCAGCTAAGCTGGAGTACATGTTCAATAAATCGCCTAAAAACGACCAATATTAAGACCACCTCGTTGGCCACGCTACCCAACTGTCAAGCAGCGAATTTAAGCAGCAGTACCAGTTCCCGGACTGCAACAGCCTACAATTTAAGTCCACAGCATCAGGGACAACAGCAAACTGCATCGGCATATCACCATTATCATCGTTCACCCTCACCCAAAATGGCTTCAACATCGGCCTCCACTTCACCCACACCCTCATCATCGTCCACCACGTCTCATCACTTAGATACCACCACCAACTCCGGCACCACGAATAAATCTCCCAAGAAGTCCTCTGCACGTAATCCCGTTGTGTTCAAATCTCTCAACAATTCCTCCTCATCGTCGATTAATGCCAACACGTCGACTACAGCTGGCGGTGCTGCTGCCACAGATACAAGCAGTGATAATGGCAGTCACAATTTAAGCTTTGGTCCCGACACCTCTTCCTCGCCCGATGAATCACCCACACATCGTTCCATCAGTGGCATTGAATTGGCGAAAATATTTTCCATGGATGGTAAGAGTGGTTCGAATAATTGTAGTGAAGAGAAGACACCGCTACTGGATAGTGTGGAAATGTCTCCGATAAGTCCCACGGGTCCCGAGGAGGATGATGATGACGAGGAGGAAAATGATCATGGAAAATCCATATCCAACTCCAATGACACCAAATAAAGAGGAAAAAACAAAACAAAACAAAAAAAAAACCAAAATGAAATTGTGATAAAAAATATTATTAAAAATGAAGAAGAAGATGAGAAAATTTTACATAAAATGTAATGCGAAGAAGATACCAAAGAAGAGATGGAAATTTAAAATCTTTAGAGAAAAAATAACACAAAAAATTCAGTTAAGTAGTTGAAGACAATTTTAATCCAATTCCATTGTAGAAGTTTAGGATAAATAGAACCCAAAAAAAAAAACAAAAACAAAGAAAATAATGTTGACTAGCGAAAAAAGAAAACAAAAGGAAATAGAAATAAAACCAAAACGAACAACCGAAATGCTTTCACTCAAAGCTCTGCTTATGATAAGGATAGTTTAAGGGAGAGAAAGAGAAAGTGAGAATAGAAGGAGTGAGGCCAGAGATATACGGAGAAGAAAAGATATAGTGATTAAAAATGAGAGATATATAGGGATGGGAGAATTGGCAGAGGATACAGAAACCATATAAGACTTCCTATAGGTCTTAAATCTGTAAAGGGTATCCAACAGGTCTTCCGTGTATAGAAGACCTCCTATGAATCTTTTATACAAAGAAGAACTTCTATACACAAAGACATCCTATAGTCTTCATGTATGGAAGATCTCCTATAGGTCTTCCATATAGAGAAGACCTCATACAGGTTTCCATGTATAGAGGACCTCCTATAGGTCTTACATGTACAGAAGACCTCCTCTTCTATACATAGAAGACCTCCTTTCTATACATAGAAGACCTTCTATGGTCTTCTATACATAGAAGATCTCCTATGATCTTCTATACATAGAAGACCTCAAAGGGGTCTTCTGTACATAGAAGACCTCCTGTGGTCTTCTATACATAGAAGACCACCTATGATCTTCTATACATAGAAGACCTCCTATGGTCTTTTATACATAGAAGACTTCCTTCTATGGTCTTCTATACACAGAAGACATCCTATAGTCTTCTATACATAGAAGACCTCCTATGGTCTTCTATATAGAAGACTTCTATGGTCTATACATAGAAGACCTCCTATGGTCTTCCATACATAGAAGACCTCCTATGGTCTTTTACACATAGAAGACCTCCTATGGTCTTCTATACATAGAAGACCTCCTATGATATTTTATACATAGAAGACCGTCTATGGTCTTCTATGCATAGAAGACCGTCTATGATATTCTATACATAGAAGACCTATAATATTCTATACACAGAAGACCTCCTATGGTCTTCTATACATAGAAGACCTCCTATGGTCTTCTATACATAGAAGACCTCCTATGGTCTTCTATACATAGAAGACCTCCTATGGTCTTCTATACATAGAAGACCTCCTATGGTCTTCTATACATAGAAGACCTCCTATGGTCTTCTATACATGGAAGACCTCCTATGGTCTTCTATACATAGAAGACCTCCTATGGTCTTCTATACATAGAAGACCTCCTATGGTCTTCTATACATAGAAGACCTCCTATGGTCTTCTATACATAGAAGACCTCCTATGGTCTTCTATACATAGAAGACCTCCTATGGTCTTCTATACATAGAAGACCTCCTATGGTCTTCTATACATATACATAGAAGACCTCCTATGGTCTTCTATACATAGAAGACCTCCTATGGTCTTCTATACATAGAAGACCTCCTATGGTCTACTATACATAGAAGACCTCCTACGGTCTTCTATACATAGAAGACCTCATATGGTCTTTTATGTATAGAAGACTTCTTATGGTCTTCTATCCATAGAAGACCTCCTATGGTCTTCTATCCATAGAAGACCTCCTATGGTCTTCTATCCATAGAAGACCTCCTATGGTCTTCTATCCATAGAAGACCTCCTATGGTCTTCTATACATAGAAGACCTCCTATGGTCTTCTATACATGGAAGACCCTTAATGGTCTTCTATACATAGAAGACCCCTTATGGTCTTCTATACATAGAAGAATTCTTATGGTCTTCTATACGTAGAAGACCTCATATGGTCTTCTATACGTAGAAGACCTCATATGGTCTTCTATACATAGAAGACCTCATATGGTCTTTTATGTATAGAAGACTTCTTATGGTCTTCTATGTACAGAAGACCTCTTATGGTCTTCTATGGTCCTATGGTCTTCTATACATGGAAGACCTCCTATGGTCTTCTATACATAGAAGACCTCTTATGGTCTTCTATACATAGAAGACCTCCTATGGTCTTCTATACATAGAAGACCTCCTATGGTCTTCTATACATAGAAGACCTCCTATGGTCTTCTATACATAGAAGACCTCCTATGGTCTTCTATACATAGAAGACCTCTTATGGTCTTCTATACATAGAAGACCTCTTATGGTCTTCTATACATAGAAGACCTCTTATGGTCTTCTATACATAGAAGACCTCTTATGGTCTTCTATGTATACATAGAAGACCTCTTATGGTCTTCTATACATAGAAGACCTCTTATGGTCTTCTATGTATACATAGAAGACCTCTTATGGTCTTCTATACATAGAAGACCTCTTATGGTCTTCTATACATAGAAGACCTCTTATGGTCTTCTATACATGGAAGACCTCTTATGGTCTTCTATACATAGAAGACCTCTTATGGTCTTCTATACATAGAAGACCTCTTATGGTCTTCTATACATAGAAGACCTCTTATGGTCTTCTATACATAGAAGACCTCTTATGGTCTTCTATACATAGAAGAATTCTTATGGTCTTCTATAGTAGAAGACCTCATATGGTCTTCTATACATAGAAGACCTCATATGGTCTTTTATGTATAGAAGACTTCTTATGGTCTTCTATGTACAGAAGACCTCTTATGGTCTTCTATGTATAGAAGACCTCATATGGTATTCTATCCATAGAAGACCTCCTATGGTCTTCTTTCCATAGAAGACCTCCTATGGTCTTCTATCCATAGAAGACCTCCTATAGTCTTCTATTCATAGAAAAAAATGTATAGAAGACCTCTTATGGTCTTCTATGTATAGAAGACCTCTTATGGTCTTCTATGTATAGAAGACCTCTTATGGTCTTCTATGTATAGAAGACCTCTTATGGTCTTCTATGTATAGAAGACCTCCTATGGTCTTCTATGTATAAAAGACATCCTATAGAGGGGGAGAGATATTTTCTATTTATAGAAAATATCTCTCCCCCTATCTTTGCCTCTCTTCCCCCTCTACACGATTTGAGCATGCCAAGAATGATTAGAAAATTCTTAGATATTTTCAAAACAAACCAAACAAAACCCCGAATCTAATTTTTAAGTATTTCCAATAAGAAAAGCTTTCTGCAAAAACAATAATTTCTCTATTAAAACTCTATACAAAAAACAATTATTATTGTATATTTACCTTTACAAATTATTTAAAACAAAAATATTTACTATTATTATTATAATTAAATATTATTATTAAAAAAACAAAAACAAGAAAAAAGGTCCATTTAAAAGTAAAAAAATAAATTCAATTTTTTTATTAGGCTTTTAAGATATTTTATTGACGAATAAAATAATTCAAACAACAAGCGAACTTGCATTCATTTACGTATTTTAAAGCAAACAACAATACAATATACATTAATAAAATACATACATACATATTTATTGCGCACTTTGAGAATCACAAGCAAACAAAAAAATATAAAAAAATATGAATACACACCTCCATCCTTATGATTAAATTTTAAGGATCTAATCGATGAGACAAAAACAAAAAATAATAAAAAAAACATTTTAGAAATTAAAAAAAAACGACAAAAACGTTTTTGAAATCTAAATCCAAAAAATATAAGACTTTAGCTTGAACAAAAAAATATATACGATCTAATAGAATGAGACATATAATAATTTGCGAAATTAAATTATTGAAAATGTAGCTTAAACAAATTTTCAATGAAATAATTATTAAATGCAACTCCATAATAAAGCATGACGATGATGATGATGAGAAAGAAATCTAGCAAAGATTATCTAATAGATTTAGGGAATTTAATCAATGTTTAACAAAATGGAAATAAAAACACTCATAAGTAAATAAAATTACATAGAAAATAAATCATTATTACATAAAAAGGATCAAAGAAAAATTATGGTTTTAAATTGAATAATAAAAAAAATATAATAAGAAATAGAAAATTTTGTTAAAAATTAAATTATAATTTTAGGTAAATAATAAATAAAAAAACATTAAAAGGAATATTTTGTTTATATATTGTTGAATTTTTATTTATATATTTGTTAAAAGTATTAATAAATTGGAAATATTTAAAATCTGTTTTTTTTTTAAATTCGATAAATTTATATTTTTTCTAGTATTATTTTAACCTTAAAATCCATAATTGTAAAAATCATTCAAACTAGACGTTGGAACTGAAAAAAATATCGAAATTTATTTATCCGAGGGCTACTATGTATTTCTGGCCTAATAATATTAATTATCGAAAACGAGTTTTCAAAATATTCTCCTGCGTGATATTATATTTTGAAACTTGTGTCAAAGCTTGTATTCCACTCCGTTTGAGATACTCCCAAAACATGATTCAGAATTCATCCAAACGTCGCCAAAGTGCTACTTCCACGAACTTCTTTCGTTAGATTTGGCTCGTCTTCGAAGGTCGACCATCAACCGTTACGATCTTCTATTTTTATTTGTGTGGGTAATGTTTTGATAGGTGCTTATCCAATTGATCCAAAAATTTGCTGTGGTCACTTTTCAATCGAATTGTCTGTAACCTGGTATTTCGAAATTATCATTGGTTAGCCCACTTTTTAAATTTTCCCCCATATAATTCCGTATTGTACCAGAAATCTTCTTACCAAAAAATGACCACGGCACACCCCCGCAACATTTAAAAGTACCGAACGATTACATTTATTCTCATGGTGTAGAGTATAAAAAGTTCGGTCCGGTCGAACTTAACCGGTTTTTCTTCTTTTTTTAACTCACAAAAGCTCAGCCTGTATTGTGAAACATATC